TTTAAGGCTGCCCGGTTGCCGGAGAGTCGCGGTGGCACAGACAGGCGGGCACGCGGCACGTCGAGGAAAACATTCCTCCCGTCTGAGCCGCGGAGCCGAGCGACCGAATGGGGCATCGATTTGGCAAATAACAATCCATTATTAGAAATCCTATTTTCCCACCGCGCGGCGCGGGCATGAGCGTGACTGCCGATGATTCTCTAGCTATCCGTCGCTCTGAGGTCGTGCGGCGGCGTCGCGATCTCACGCACGGAGGATTGCCGAAAAATTGTCTTCATAATTTTTGTGGAATTTCTCGACACATTGTTCATTTCTTTGTTTGTCGTCTTCATCGTTTTCTTCGTGGTGCGTTTTTTTTTTCACCTCGAATTGGATGTCGAGGATCATGGGGGAAGCCCCGAGCACAGAGGTGACGCCGTTGGCGGAGGGCTCGACGGGGACGTGCGGAGCCCCGCCCCCTGCTCGTGAGCGCCCCATTAGCCCGCCGACGTCTCCCCTTGAGCGGCCGCCCCCTCACGTGTCGCGATGTGCGCGCACCGCACCAGGAAGCTGACGAGAGCTCCGGCGGAGGTGGCGCACTGCAACTACGACAAACTGTTTGCCCGGTGCACACTATGGGACACCTCGCCTTCAGGCTCCCGGCCTTCGCGACACAAACACAGCGGCGCACTCGCTTTCTCCCGCGACCTCCGCCGAAAAACCGGCACATGTTGATGATGAGACAGATGGCGGCCACCTCGCGTTATACCCGCGCGGCCTCCTCGAGGACGTTCCCCCAAAGTACTCTATTCCCGCGAGTTACCCTGCTCCAGCTGCGCGCAGCCTCGCGGGAGAGTCTTTGGAGGTTTCCTCATGGACCACACCACCCGCGCCGCCCGCGCAGCCGCGACCCGCGACCCGAACCCCATCGCGGGTTCCTCCTTGACGTGTCCCAACCTCGCGCCGCACATCGTGCTTCTGGTATTGCACGCGGCGATGCAACTTGCCTTGACTAAACGGCGCCCTGCATGCTCTCTCTGCCCGCAGCCATCAACTCCCTGGGCGAGACGCTCTTCTCGGCCGGCGCCCTGGTCGTCTTCCTCACCCTGCTCGTGTACGCCGACACTCTGCGCCGGGTGCTGAGCCGCACGCTGCCGGCCGCGGCCAAGACCCACACCGCCTTCGTCATCAGCGTGTACCCGGTGAGCGGTCGGCGAGGAGCCGCAAATGGGCTTACAGTGACGCTTCACTACCAGAATGTCATCACCCACCAGTCATTTCACATTTCACTATAGAACCAATAGAACCGGACCACGGAAAAAAAAGATCCGCTGAGTCAGCTAATATATTGACTGGTATTTGGACAGACGAGCACATAAACTTCTGTAACCACTATATTGTCTACCCTAATCAATCATTGGCTGAGCCAGTCAATGATTAGTTGTATGAAATAATGATTTGCCTGCATCAGTAAGGTAGACCTCGACTGATTTAGGGAAGGGATAAGCTCTTACAGCTAATTTTTGACTGGCACAGCCAATGATTGATTAGAGTAGACAATATAGTGGTTACAGAAGTTTATGTGCTTAGATACCAGTCAATATATTAGCTGACTCAGCGAATCTTTTTTTTCCGTGACGTGTTTTGAACAGAGGAGGGTGCCCCTTTCTTTAGGGGCGCGTGATGGCTCGGCTCGGTGATATAGGATTGTGACGTCGCTGTTTTATAATGCTTTTATCACTAGACAGGGGCGTGAGAATGTGCAATGTGACCTGCTCTGCCGGCGGGGCGGCGGGGCGGGTCCGGCCCGGCGCCGGCGTCTGGCCGAGGCGCCTGCCAGGCCGGGGATAGGCAGCCCCGCTCGCCACCCCTGCCGCGCGGGTCTGCCTACGCTGAGGCGGCCGGCCCGGGCCGAGGCGCCGAGGCGAAGGCGCGCCCCCTGACACTGGCACTGCTGCTCTTGCAGGTGGTGGCGCTGGCCACGCTGTGCGCGGTGATCGTCCCGCGCGCCCAGCTGCTGGCCGAGGCCGTGACGCAGGGCGTGTTCATGGCGGCCGTGTACCAGCTGTGGTGCCTGCTGGTCGCCTACTGCGGCGGTGAGGCCGAGCTCATCCGCCGCGTCAAGCCCGGCTCCCTTAACCCGCGCGTCGGGCCGTGCTGCTGCTGGCCGTGCTGCCGCCTGCCGCTGCTCACCGTCAATAAGTGCGCCCCCCAAAAGGCTATTTTTTGGTGTTTGAAATTATTGTGACATTCCGTCAACGACTCTAATTAATATCGTATTTTCAGACGCAACGTGAGCTTCTTGCGGGTGTTGGTGCTGCAGCTGCCCGTCGTGCAGGGGCTGCTGTACCTGGTGCTGCTCGTCATGTGGGCCGAGGAGGAGAGCCTATACGAGGTCAACTACATGTACCTGCAGCCCGTCGTGGTGCTGTCCATCCTCACCGGCATCTGGGGCCTGCTCATGACCATCAAGATGCTGAGCACTGTCCTGGCCAGCCACCTGGTGCTGGGCAAGTTCCTGGCCCTGCAGGCCGTGCTGCTGCTCGCCAAGTTCCAGGGGCTGGCGGCGCGCGCCACAGCCTGGTACAGCCTGCTCCCCTGCAACCCGCCCCTCACACCCACCGTCTACGCCAACCGTAAGCTCCATCTTTAGAGACAACATAAAACATTGAACAGAGCCAATGTTAATTGTGGATTCTTTTATGTGCAGTGATGTACAACACAGCCATGCTGGTGGAGATGTTGCTACTCGCGCTGTTCGCCCGGGCGCTCTACTCGAGGGAGATCCCCGACCTGACTGACACCCGGGACGAGTCGCAGCCGAACCAGGTGTGCGTCATCGAGGTCTCCACACAGAAGGACCTCACTTCGTCGCCCGCCAAGGAATCCAACAATAACAACAACATCGGCGCGATCGCCGACGAGACGAAGGTGTCCTACAAGTTCTAGCCGGGCGCTGGTGGGGAGCAATGAGTGTCAAAGACTGCTTCACCACATTGGACGCTTGTTTCTTGCCAACCACTAGAGCGAAGTCACTCAACTCAGCCATTTTTAGTATAAGTCTCACTTTGTGAAAGGAATTTTGCAGCTCATTTGTCAGTCAGCATCGATCACAAAAAATGCCTTTTCATACAAGTATAAATATTAATTGTAATTAATGTAAGAATGTATTCTAGATCTCAGGGAATTCCTGGGTGCAAAGAAACGTGAAAACAAAACTAGTTTTTAAAACACGTAGAAATTTGTATTTCTATTATACTCTATTTAGGATCTAAACATTCAGCCTGGACCAGTCAGGATTTCACCTTGACTAAATGGAGTGTTCCATGTAACCATGTAACAATTGGTAACAATGCTATGTGCGTTTTTTCCGAAATAAAACCATCTGTGATATGATAAACAGCAGTATTTATTCTCAACCTATTCTCCCTTGTATTGCCTTCCCCCAGCCTCTGCGCACAATAAGTTGCCTAGCAACACGGCGCAACTGAGCCGGGTTCTGCACGATAAGTTGTCTACCCACAAGGCGCTCGGCAGCTGGCTGAGAATCGAGATTCACATTCATATTTGTGTCGGGAGCTTAGTACAGATTTCTCATACTGTAGTCTCACGCAAGGCTTCTCTCTCACAGCCGCTCCCTGGCGTTTGACGTTTGTAAACAAACAGAAATATCACACATATATTTTGATAATTTAGACGTTGTCAACGCTCCTTCCCCATTTTCTACATTATGGGGGCCTTTCCTATCCGTGCTAGGTCCAAGTTTTGGCCGAAACATCCTTTGGATTGGGGAATATTCATTGTCACATTGTTTCTTATACCTACTATTTACTTTTATGAAATGTTTACTGTTTACCCTACAGTTTGGGTATTTTGTCCAAACTTTAGCAAGGTGATTCCGGTCCTAGGATTGTTTATATTCACAAATATTGTAGCCAATTTTGTAGGTTTGGTAGTCACCGATACTGGAGTACCCAAGGAGGTTATGTCTTGCACAAAACTTCCGCACTCATCAAAATGGCATTACTGTGAGATGTGTGTAAGTTATGTGCCGATAAGGTCTTGGCATTGTAAAGTTTGTAAAACTTGTATTTTAAAGCGAGATCACCATTGTTTGTTCGGAGGTTGTTGTATTGGACATTTTAATGCCCGCTTTTTTGTTATGTTTTTGTTATATTTACTTATAGGAACCTTGTACTGTGTTGTTAGTGATACTATGTTTTTGATTGAGAAAGTTGATCTTTCCACACCTTCAGTTGTATTGAAAATAGGATTTCCTGCCTTTGCATATTTATCGGGTTTGGAAACATTGGCTAATGAATGTTACATCTTACTGTATATTATCAACTGGGCAGCATTGGTATTTGTCACTGTCATGTTAATATATCATGTTCGCATAAATTTAAAAGGTCAAGTTACACACGATGTTACAGTTTCAAACCTGGAGTATGATCTTGGAAAACTTCAGAATGTCAAGGAAGTTTTAGGAAATCGATGGTACATTGCTTGGGCTTTCCCTCTCATATCTTCCCCGCTTCCCCATAATGGTCTAGAGTGGGAAACTAGCAATGAATGGAATTTGAGGTGCGAAAGAGATTCTGTAAAAGGCAAGTAATTTGTGAATCTGTAGAATCATTGTATAAATCTTTACTTACTGCTGCTCATTAATTCAATTCAATAAATCTGTGTTCTGTTTAGTGTAGTGTAAACCTGTCTTGTTTATTATGCATTGCTCAAGGTGGAAAGTGTTCCCAATCTTGTAATATTCATGGCTGTGCTTTTAATTCATCAGTATTTTATATATTACAATTCCTATTTTGTAAACAGGACACCTCCTATGCATAAGACTAGTCTTATGTCCTACGTGTAGATGTATTGAAATTCAAGTACTTAATACAGTGACTCTCTGTGATGTGAATATTTAAATAAACTGCTGTGTTTATTGTAAATCTCTTATTCCTTCTATTGCTTTCAAAAAACATTTTAAAAGTGGGGACTTTATGGTGGAAAAACGACACACGTAAAAAAAAGGCCACTTGGACCTTTTCCCACATGTTATGAGGGAGGGGTCCGGTGGTGGTGGGAGGTGCTGTAAGGCTGGAGGGAGGTGCAGATGCTGACAGTCGTTTCGTGAAAGCTCCCCTCGCTCTGCAGTCAGGACCCGACGAGGCAGGGGCCCGCACGGATCCTCACCCCGAGGCCCAGCCGATCTCACGGTAAACAAGATATTCGGCGGTTGCAAAATTGTCCACTTCAGGGAATTTGAGTTCTTAAAGCACCGCCTATTTTTCACCGGCTCGGAACGTCACCGTTCAGGATTTCAAGAGTGTTTCGACTTTGGGTGTATAGGTTTTTCTGGAGTGAATCTGACTTCCCCTACGCGACGCGCATGTGTGTTTTCCCCGTTTTTCCGCGCGTTTGCCCGCCCCGCCCACCAGAGGATCGAGTGCGGTAACGCGAGTCCTCGCCTTGCGTCACGCCGCGCGGCCGGCACACACCGGCGGGGAATGACAGGCGAGCGGCGACGTTGTGAGACGTTGTAAGAGACGCGTTTTCAACGTAATTCCGATTCAGACATCGAATCAACGCTGTCGACTTTCAATTTATGGCTTGGTTGTACGCACCACACACGATACTGTTTTTTTAGCCACATTACGTGGATGTCGGCGTACGCGCACAGAATTTCAGTAAACAAACGCAATACGAGGTATTTAAAGGCGCTGGGGTGACACGAGTGCACGACCTTGTTACGGAGCCGCGCCGGGCCGGCCGGCGGCCTAGCTAGAGCAGGAGCAGGAGCCTGGCCTCGTGGACCACTTTCTCTCTCTCCCACTGCTGGAGCCTGCCGCCCCTTACCCGACCGGGTATTACGACATGGAAACGCCGTCAGACGTAATGCAAGACTGTCTTCCGGACGGGCGCGGTCTGGGATATTGGGAGGAGGGGGGGGGGGGGCTCCCTCTCCAGTGGGTGGGCCGATCGCAGAGGTAGCTTGTAGTAGAGACGGGGGTCGAGGAGAAGAAGGAAGCAGTCCTTCCAGG